TCCTTTTCTTTTACCTTAATCCCTCGTGTCTTGAGTGCCTTACTGAGGCTTTCTAAAACAGTCCATGCTTGCTTAATGCTTGCCCCATGCCGGAAAAGGGGAAGGGGGTTGCCGTTCACTCACCGTGGCTCGAGCGGTGCGGCAGGCACTCGCGCGGCGTTGGCCTCGGAATTTACTTTCACTATCTGCTTCCTACCCGAGCTCTCGAACGGCTCCCTCATTAAATCCTCCGTGCCAGGCCTCCACGTGCAGCGCCACTTGACTCGGCCCGCGAGTCGAGACGTGGGTAATGACCTGGAGGAGGAACGGGGATGAAAAAGACAGGGCAAGAGATACAAGAGACGGAGACAAGACAGGCTTTCTGATCAAGTCTCATTTATTGAGGAAGTGATCAGGGTCTAAATAGCTATATAGTGGAAGCAGTTGGGTGGGCCTAGTTGTGGACTGGTAGTGGAGAACCAGGACCACAGGAAGATGTCGAGGCAAGCAGGGATTGGTGCTGCAGCACTTCTTGCCCAAATAAGGGAAAACATAACAGGAGCGTTCTATCGCCCCCCCCCCACACACACTGCTTCACCTTGCCTTCTGCCCTTTCCTTGCTCTCCTCCTAGTGTCTTCTCTCCTATCACTTTCATCTGTCTTCATTTTTTTGAAATTAAATTTTTGTTTTCAGTCCATGTTTGCAGTACACAGTGATTTCATTCTTTATGGGCAACTATTAGTTTTAGTACAGTAGCTTTCCAAGATTCAAGACTGTTAAGAGTTAAACTGTGTCCCCAAAAGATGCTGGTGTCGTAAGCTCCAGTCGTTATGCACGTGGCCTGTGAAAGTCAGATTTTTGCAGATAGGAGCTTATTGAGATTATGAGGGTGGGCCCTAATCTATGGCTTGTGTCCTCATAAAAATGGGAGTTTGGACATGGAAGTAGACATGCACATGGGGAAAAGGCCACATGAGCATGAACACAGAGCTCTGATGACAGCACCTATTAATGGTTGCCATGAAAGATTGAGGCAAGAAAATTTAGGTCAAAATTCTGTGTTGTATTTTCTCTTGTCTGTTCAGTCCCCTGCAACTGCAGTGGTTCCTTTCTCTTCCCTTTACCTCACAACATTGACCCCTTAGAAAGTTACAGTCCAGCTATTTTTTTTTGGGGGGGTAGGACAGTTTCAATAATTAACACATTGCATAAATTCTTTCCAGTGGTTAATTGCTGTACAAGATATGGACTTGATATCCTATTTACAAACACTATTAGAACAAATCCCTCTATTCATTAAGAGAATGCAACTATATATCTATCCTAGCCATTTTGTTTTTTTAAATTTTTTATTTATCCTAACCATTTTGAATACACAGATACAAAATGGACATTCATCTGTATACCCTTTTTTTGTTAAGTTCTGTTATTTGAATATTATAGGTGTGTTAACTCAGCAAAATATTCTAAAAGAGTCCAGTAGTCCATAATAGTATTGGGTCTTCTGCTTCACTGGCAACGTCAGAAATTGTTGACCTGAGTCCCCTACAGCTCAACATAACAACATGGCTTTACTTCTTTTACTTCGTGTTTGTACTTTTCTGCTGGATGGTTAAGACCAAGGTAAAGCAAGACCTATGCAACAAGAGTTGTAGCTTTTGGGTCCAATAAGGTCAGTGAAATACCCTCAGGATTTATCCTGAGATCCTGTACCTCAGATTGTAGAACCTTTGTCAGTGTCAGCCATGTGGATGAGTCACGGCCATTGCTTGAGGCCAGCTATTTTGTAAACCATCACTCAATCTGCTCTTGCCTGTGGTCTTCTCACCAGTAGATTCAGGAAGATCACAAAAGCAGTTCGGTGTTCTCATTACATATAGTGCTTTGCCACATTTTATTTTTGTGACTGGCTCAGCCCACCCTGGGGCGGGACTGGCATGGCATGTGGTGCCAGAGATTGAACCTCGGTCCCTGCATGCTTGCCTAAGCTTACCCAAGCAGACACTTTAAACTGATGAGCTATCTCACTGGCCCTTTGTCACATTTCTGACACTGTTCATCTCAATCATTTGATGAAGATGGCATCTGCCAGGTTTCTCCACTGTAAAGTGACTCTTTCCTTTGAAATGTTTTCATATTTTGAATAGATGGATTTTGAACTATGTGTTGTCAAACTTCCTAGTTAAGTTTTTTTTTGTTTGTTTCTGTGCAGACCCCTGTTTCCTACTATATCCTGCAAAATTTGCCATCAGATCAGTGATCTTGATTGTCAGATTTCCTAGTGTGGTCATGGAGTTCCTTCAAGGTGACTTCTGTGTTCCATTTAGCATGTATTTGACCAATTCCTTCCTCTCTGGAATAGGATATCCCATGCTCCCATTGTTCATTTCCCTTTCCTGGCAGGCACTTAGCCATTCTCCTAGGACTCTTGGTTCCTGTTAGCAGAGAATGGTGGAAGTCAAGATATGGATGCTAGGGATGCTCATGATGAGTAATGGGGTATCATAGTTTCCAGGTCCTTTGAGTGGGGAGAGTTAGAGAATATATGTACAAATGATCCTGAGACTGTATCTGTCTCATCTCCATCTCCCTCCCCATCTCTGTGTATCTATCTCTGTCTCTCTTTCTCTGTCTACGTCTCTCTCACCTGCATGTTTTGTAACAGCCCTTGCTGGATCCTCCATGGGTAGACAGACCCTTTCCTAACTCACTAACACCAGCTCCATCCTAGACCCTCCCTGCACACTGATACCTTCTTGTTTCCCTTTGCTCTAGTATTCCACATTAAGCTGTCATTCCCTGAATTTATTCTCACCTTCTCAAGCTCTGTTGTATTACTCTGTTTTTCATTGCTATACCAGAATACTGAATAAAGAGAAGAGGTTTATGTAGCTCAAACCTTTTTGGGTTCAAGGGCATGACATTGGCATTGGCTATGCTGATGAGGGCCTTCTTGTTTATATTATAAAGTGAATGGCATCACGGTGGGAGAATGTGCAGGAGGATGAGATGATGCAGTGAGATAGGAAGTCAGAGTGTAAAAGGGGTTCAGGCTCCTCCATTTATAACATTGTTGGGAACTACCTGGGGTCCCATGAGAAGTGTAATTCCTTCCTAGGACAGCACCCCTGATGACTTCCCATTGGGTTCCACCTCTTGCAGGTTCCAACACAACCCTACCACACTGAGGACCAAGCTCCCCACTCAACAACTTTGCAAAACACACTCAACCCACACCTGAACTGTAACACCCACTAGATGGTTGGGATAAGAAAGAGTTAATGTAGAGACATGATAAATAATCAGCACGGCATCTGGGACAAGGAAAAGAAAACAGCGCAGCAACATCTTCAGGAGTAACCAAGCACACTTGGGACTCAAGGACACCCTGTTTTTGTGTCCTTGCTCCCAGATGCCTAGCAGGTTCTTATGTATAGTATAGCCTAAACATTAACCTTAGACATATATGATAGGATCTTATTATGTTCACCTAAAGTAACCTGAAGGCTGAAACTCAAGATATATAAAAATAAAAACCAAAGACAGTGTCGCAGCCTTTTGCTCCAATCCTCTTTGCTTGCATTAAGTGTTCATGTGTCTTTGCGGCCAGCACTATGAGTCTTTCCCAACACTAGACCATGCGGAGGGGACTTCCCCTACCCCCGCTGCCTGTGGAACTCTGTCTCCCCATGTCAAATGGCCCCTTTACCCTTATTACCACTTTGGTGACACTGCCACAAGATGTCTCACCTTCTCCCACTCCTCACGATTGCAGTATGAAGGAGAGAAGAGGCAAGCAGAGAAGAGCAAATAGGATCCTTGAAGCCCCACCATCAGGCGATTCTTGTGGCCCAGTAAGGTTTAATACACCTTACTGACTGACACTCTGGTTTCTCTTCAGATCGTATAAATCTTTTGCCTTTTACTCTTCACTGACTGAGTTGCAAAGCTCTTTCAGCCCAAAGACTACATCTCCTCCATCTTCACTGTCCAGAGTCCAGGCTAAGAGTGAGAGCTTAAAATGTGTGCCAGAACTTCAAATGAATGGATACTCTAATCATCCTTACCTCAAAATGTGCTTCCTATGTATTACTGTAGAAAACAATTTCCAGTTCCATCCTGGGGATAAAGGATATCACAGCCTGAGAAAGGCCCTCCCTATCTGTCTCACTGCAGCCAGATGGGGAGGCGGAGAGAGCTGTGATCCCTCCCCAACCTGAATAGTGATTTCCCATCTAGCTGTCACACAGCTGTAGGATACTGGAGCTGAGAGAAAGACAAAGAGAGGCAGGAAGAGTTGCAAAGAATTGAGCTGCTCAGGAAGCTGGACTGACGGGGTGGAGGGGAAGGAGGGGCCATCTTGAGAGTGGAGTGTGGTGAATTCTACCTTACCTCCATGCAGGTCCCCATGGGCCCAGCCTGCATCTTCCTGAGGAAAGGCATCGCTGAGAAACAGAGGGTAAAGTGGGGTGTTGGGAAGGGAGGTAGGCAGGCCAAGGGGAACCAGGTCACAGCAAAAAGGAGGGGGTCTTGATGGTTCACTGGAGTAGGGTGGCAGGTGGAGGGGCAGTGAAGATAAAGGAAACAAGAGGAATAAAGGAAGCCAGAGTTAGTAGAGTTTCACAAGTGCCTGCTAGGTGTCCAAGCCATACTTAAGTATGTCCAGCAGTCCTCAAAGATTAGACATTTTGAGGGGCTGTAGGAAATGAACATGCTGAATATCCTGCTGCAGAATCACTGAACACTGATCCTATACAAAGAGTTTCTTTTGTATTTTCCTTTTTGCCACTGGGTATTGAACTCAGGACCTTGCATTTGCCTGGCAAGTGCTTAAGTCACTGAGCTATCTCCCCAGCCTGCTATACAAATGGTTTCTAATTGCTGGAAGGAAAGGGTGGGGGGGAAGTCAATGGGTTGTGGTAGAACAAGTTTGAATCACAAATCAGGGGCCCTGAATTCAAATTCAATGCTCAGCTTGATTTGCTGTATGTTCCAATGGGTGTAATTTAATTTTTCCACTCTTTGGAAGGGCACCTTTTGGCTTTTTATAATATATGTGACCTTTGGTAGTTTCCCTCATCTCTCCATTCTTCAGCTTCCTTGTGGGTAAGATGGGAATGATGTTTAGATGTACCTCATAGAGCAGTTCTGAGGTTTAGACATGAGGAGAGTGGCTGGCACAGAGTCGGCCCTCTGCACAGGCTAGCTGAGGTAGGAAGTGGTGCTTTCTTCAGCTGGAGGACAGAGAAGGCTGGCCTGTAAGACCCACTTTAGTCAATGTGATGAGTACTTGCCTGGAAAAGACAGAAGGGCAAGGTTAGGACTCAAGGGAGGTAGAGAGAAAATGAGGGGATGGGGTAGTAAAGAGCAAGTAGCTAACGACTAGGAGTCAGGAGACGGAGGAAGATGAAAAGAAGTGAGAATGAAAAGAAACAGAAGGTGTGGAGAAACTTGGGAGAACCAGTAATATACTTGGAGAGACGAGCGCCAGATTCTTGACCCACTCTCCAAATTCCCTCTGCCCTGCATTGCTTTCCAGGAGAGACCCCTGGGACAAGATGAGATCGAAGGTAACATTTCCCCACATGCCCCCATATGGCCATTCCCCACCTACCTTCCCTCCACCTCTGTACACTTCTGTAAATTTCTCCACATGAAAATTTCACACCCCTCTTTCCTCCTACTTGGGCAACACTATGGAACTCTTTCTCACAGCAAATTAAATACCTCCCAAGGAAGGCATGCCATTCCCACCTGCCTCAGAAACTAAGTTTTAGAATGAATCAAAATCCCCCTCCCCAGACCCCCTTGGTGGTTTTGAGAAAGTTTCACCAAAGCATTTGAGGACTTCAGTGGTTTCACTTAGCAGTCTCAGGCATCCTTCTTTCTTTCCCCCATCATTCCTTTTGCCAACAAGCACATTTTACATGGAAATGTTTGACTTTTTAATCATGTATTGTCCTTTAAGGTATTTCTAGTCAATGGCTCCTTGGCAGATTCAGGGGATATCACCATTTTCACTGATGGTCTCAACTCCCTCCAGAGGAAATCCATCTTACATTTCAGAGCTCCGAGAAGCATTTCTTGAGTTCGACAAGGACCGGGATGGATTTATCTCTTATAAGGACTTGGGGAATCTCATGAGAACCATGGGTTACATGCCCACAGAGATGGAGCTGACTGAACTGGGCCAACAAGTCCGCATGAACTGTGAGACCAGGAGTGGGGGAGCTGACTGGGCTGGGGTTAGGAAGGGGATGGAGGTTGGGAACATATTTGAGGGTACAGAGGTGGATAGGTGGGACTGGAAGTCTGGAAGAAAACAATCCAGGCAGCATTTTATGTGGTTACCAGAATGACTTTTTTGAGATAGATCTGAGTTCAAGTTCCACTTTTATTATTTACTAATTGTGCTCATTTTGAAAAGTGGAGCTATCTCCTATACTTGGGGTCTCAGTTTCTTCCTGGATCAGTGGAGGACACCATTACTTCTTAGCCATGGTGTTCTGGAAATGAAGGGGTCAAAATGCTCATGCAGGTGAAGCTGTTCCCTCCAGTAAATTCTTATTAAGTGTAGGCTGGGACTGTCACCACTAAGGCTTATCAGTAGAGCACAAGAAGGGAGCTGTGTGATGTTGGAAACACACTTGGAACTGGATCTGATGTTGGTGAATAGCATGGCAAAAGGATCAATTTTTAGATGGACAGAAAAGCTGATTTAGAGATTAAAGCTGGACTAAAACTGGTAGTGAATTTACTTCTGGCCGTATCATAGAGTTGACAAGGTTGAATTCAAGGTGACAATAATACGATCAGCTCTCTGGATCTGTTTGCTCCACATATCCAGATTCAATCAACTGCAAATAGAAAATGTTATTTTGGGGAAAAAAATGTCTAAACTGAACATGCATGTAAGGGACACTTTTTTTTCTTATTTTAATGTTCCATAAATAATGTAAGTAATCTAGAGATGATTTGAAGTCACATAGGCTATTTGCCAGTGCCATGGCATTTCATGAAAAGGACTTGAACACCTGCAGATTTTGGTATTCATGGAAGGATCCTGTTACCAAGTAGATACCAGAATGACTTTTTGAGACAGATCCAAGTTCAGGTTCGTTTGATATCAAAAGACTGCTGGATGGCTGAATCTGGGAGAGACTAAAGTTTAATTCAAAGTCTCTCTTTTAAATATCTACAGATGAGGGGCCAGTTTGAACCAACTGAAATTTTGTTAAAGGTCACGTGGACATTAGTTACTTCCTCCATGGACACCTGTCCCTCTGTTGAGCCTGGTTCATATTAGAGGGACGCAAAAATGTCCGGTGCATGAGTATAGTGAGAATTTGAAAGACAGTACTTGGAAGCTAGGGATATGGGCAGTGACCTGTGTTTTCTTTTTCTTTTATTTTCTTTCTTTTATTTTTTTGAAATAATTTAAAGAACAAAGTGAGGGCATGGGTGGTGAGGTGTATGGAGTCCTACTAATCCCACCCCTTCTGTCCTCAGTGGGGGGCCGTGTAGACTTTGAAGATTTTGTGGAGTTGATGACGCCCAAATTGCTTGCAGAAACAGCGGGGATGATTGGTGTTCAGGAGATGCGCGATGCCTTCAAGGAGGTGAGTCGAGTTCAGAGGTATATTATTAATCATTGCCATGGACAGAACCCACCAAAAACTTTTATTTTTGGCCTAGCCATGACAGGAAGAAAAATAATATATTCTAAACACTGACAATGGACCCAGGGTGGGGCCTCTGCACATTTTATGCCACTTGACCCTCATAAGATAACATTAAGAGTAAGCAGTCATTTATTCCAGTCCTACAGATAAAGTGTCTGAGGCTCATGGAGATTAAAAATCTTATCTGAGATTATTCTCCAAAATGAATGTTAGGGTTTCTCACCTTGGTGTTTTTCACAGGAAAAAGGAAATCAGGAATTTCAGGTTCCCAAGAAATTATCTTATTAAAGCCACTTCCTAGAGATGCTTAAGTGTAAGACACAGGGAGGGCAAAATACTAGCTTCTGTTATCTGATAAAATAAAACATATTGCATTGGAAACAAAGACTTTTGAACCAGAAAACCAGAGACTCAAATCCTGAGATGTTTCCACTTACTAGTTGTATAATCTCCCAGCTTTCTATAAAAATTGATGGTGGATCACCCAATAAAATTTTTTTAAAATAAACATTTACTTGAGAGACAGTATAATAGTAATTGATATGACATTAGAAGCAGTATGTATTTAGAAGACCAGAATGACAGGCATTCCAAGCATGGCCTTAGTATTATACATTACTATCTTCAGTGCAGTTGCTTAGTTCACAGGCATCAGCATATATAGTTAGTCAGGTAATTAACCTGTTTTGAAACTCTCATTGCTATTTGTTCCTCAATAAAATTAATTAAAAAAGAAATTTTTATGATTGCAGAAATGCTTTGTTCAAAAAAATAGCTACTAGTTACACTAGACAATTGAGTACTTGAAATGTCACTAGTGTGACTGAGAAAACAAATATTTTTCAATCTGATTTCTGAAACTTTATTCCTTTTTATGGCAATTTAGTTATTTTTATTAATATGTTTTCCATATAGAATGTTTACATTCCTTGTGGGGGCTTGCTACATGTACATAACATGTATGCTATTTCTTTTCAATGGATTTGAATCAAGTTAGGTATTTAACTACAATTTATATTCAGTGGACCCTCAGTCTAAGTATTGGAATACATTCATTTAAATTTTTTTTTACATTCATTTAAATTTAAAGATGCACACTTCAATTTTATTAGAAAAATTTCATTTGGAACAACTTGAATATGAGAAAATATTATTTCAATTGTAATTCAGATCAAGTATTTGCAGTAAAAATTTAGTAGTTTGTAGCAGAGTTGCCAAGTGCTATAAATATAAGATACACACTGAATAAAAGCTTAGTATTCTTTATTTTGCTGAGTTTACACACCTATAATATTCAACAACGGAACTTAAAAAAAAATTGGGGTATAACTATGAATGTCCATTTTGTATCTGTGTAT